GCGATAGGTCATCCACGTATTTCCACCGATCATTGAGTGATTGACAGGCATCATTTATCATGCAGAGGAAGATGATTGGCCCCAACTTTGTGCCTTGTGGGACACCGGTGGTAAGAGTTTCACAGTCTGAGAGTGACTGTCCATACCGGACTCTTTGTCGTCTGTCTGTGAGAAAGTCCACTATCCACGGCACAATGGACGGTCTTGTCTCCATGTTAAGTAGCTTCAAAATGGCCTGATGGTGGTTGATGGTATCAAATGCCTTAGTAAAGTCCGTTAATAGGATTGTTCCCACGTTTTTGCTTCTTTCAGCACCTTGGTAGAGAAAGTGGGTGAGACTAATCAGGTAGTGGTTGGTCGAACTTCTCTTGATCCCCCCAAACTGACGTTTGTCGATGTTGTTCCATATGTCTGACAGCACCCATTTTCCTACGATGCCTTCGCAAATCTTCGCAAATATTGCAGTCAGGGATATCGGACGCAACTTGTCGATGACTGCTGGCAGTTCCTTGGGGATAGGTGTGACTACTGCTTCCTTCCACTGGGCTGGAACTGTACCTGCTATCAGTGAGGTGTTAAAAATGTCAGTGAGTGGTTCTGCGAGTTCACATGCGAACATTCTAACCAGTCGGGGAGCGATACCGTCCGGACCTCCCGCTTTACGAACTCTGACTCGGGACAGCTCTATGTACATCTCCCACGGCATGATCTGTGGCGGTGGGGAGGGTGCAGGAAGGTAGGCTGGTAGATCGCTGGTGCACACCTCTGGGGACTGCTGTGAGATCGATGACAGGTGTTTGTTTATCGCATCTGCGACAGCCTTGTGGTCGTCCGGGGCGACGTTTGGGACGTGGATGGCACTGGGAGGTTTTACTACGTTGCACACAGACTTCAGCTCCTTGTACCATTTTGCTGGGTCTTCTGTTTTCAACTGTTGAACTTTGTTCACGTAGTGTGTTTCCTTGGCCAGTTTGATGTGGCGGATGATTTTGTTTCTGAGTCTTTTCCACACTTCCTCTTTACGTTGGTAGAAGGCTTCCTGTCGTTTCTTTATCAACCTCTTAACCCGTGTCGTTATCCACGGTTTGTCTGTCGGGTGGATCTTGACGACTTTGGTGGGGAAAAACTTATCAATCTGTTGGTTCAGTGTCTTGTAGAAGCCGTCTGTCTTTTCTTGTGCACTTGTGGCGTTGTAGACTTCGTTCCAGTCGTGCTGGGATATCCATGCACCAAATGCCCTGATGTCCGAGTCTTTGAGGGGCCTCACAACACGCGTGTGGGTCTTATTCGCAGCTTTAGTCACTTTTGGTGCCCAGGTGACGGAGTAGTGGTCGCTAAGTCCCAATGGAGCTCCTATAACAGGTGTGTTGTACCTGGACTGGATGTTGGTGATGATGACGTCAAGCGTGGCGTCACGTCACGTTGCCATCTGATTATGTCAAGCATCACTTCAACTACCTACATACCAAAAATCACGACAATACGTCAACCGGTTCTTGAGTTATCGTCCTTCAATTTTTTTTCAACAAATGCTCCTGCAGTTCTAGAACAATGCGCTAGGGGACCCAAACTCATGTCACTTCTTCCCTACCTCAAGAGCTATCTACCAACTAAAATTCGTGACCCTAGCATGTACAGAACATGAGATATCAAAACCGGAAGTTCAGCTGCAGTACCTAGGAAAGCCGCCAGGGGGCCCAAAATCTAATCATTTCTAGGTCTCATGAAGTCATACCCACCTACCAAGTTTCATTCCAATCCATCCACTGCTTCTCGAGTTATCTTGCTAAACCACACACACACAAACACACACACACACAGACAAACGCTACTGAAAACATAACCTTCTTGGCGAAGGTAAAAAGTTTTGACAAAAAAAAAGTTCTTTTCATTATGAAATCTACGTGGTCATGAGGGTTGAGCAAATGGCACAGAATATGGTTTGGCGAATAATCTAGTCTTCAAGTTTATTTCTTTACGATTTCGTCTTTTTTCGTTTGATTTTGGCATTCTACGACATTGGTATAGTTTTTATTAATTTTTTTTGTAACTTATGGTATATTTTTGCTCATTTTGCAACTGTTTTGTACGATTTACAGTATGGTTGAAAAACTTTTTTTTTTTTGGAAACGGACCGAAAATTCATGCGCGCGCGGATGTCATCCATATAATCAAATCAACATGGCCTAAGTTAGCTTGGTGCCCGAGTGGAACCTTGATCAAGGCCGCCTGTTAGCAATTAGATAATGATCATAATGATAGACAGTCACCAAGCTACCTACCCATAAATAATATATGATAAAAGATAACATCACCTCCGCCCTAAAACAGACCATTCGAAATTAGCTTATTATAAATATTGCCAAGCCAAGGTGGATTATTGTTTTTGCCGTCTATGCAAGTCATGAAGTATAGGTAAAAAATATGACCAAACTTGAATATGAAAATTTCTGGTGTACGTTACTGCTTAACTCACTGAAATGAAATATGCTGTGTGACATATGCTAGTTTACATTAAGGATTGCGTTTTCTGTTATCCTAATAGCTGAAGATTTTAGACGCGCAGTGTGAGACGGAGAGGACAAATGCGGCGGCGGGGAGAGACTACATCGCAGACCGGGGGATAGACCCGGTGGTGTACGCGCACGTCTGTCTGGGCGAGAACGCCAAACAACGTCTGCTAGAAACACAGCAGGCTAAGGAGTGCATTGAAAGGTGGGCATACATGTGTACCTACGACGTGTTGTGCATGGAGGATGTCTTAAACATTGAAAGCGAATACTTCTGAACGGGGAGTAGAAAACTCGAAAAAAGTCGAAGGCAATAATTTGTGTACTTGACCTGTATCTTGTAAACAACCACAGTTGACCAGTCAAGAATCATGAGTAAAATTCTCTCACAAAAACAAGACCTATAGTAACCGAACAAGTTACAATGCAATTAATAACATAGACATGTAACTGCACTGTCCATATACACGTGAGAACAGCAAATGGACTGTTTTGTTCCGGGTTTCCAGGTCGTTACAGATAACAAGATGCCAATAAAACTATTTCGTGCAATTCTTTTTACCATTATAACCCTACCATTATTTCAGGTACAAGAAGTCGCTGGTGTTCGTCATCACGCCGCACCAGGAGTGCATCAAGGATGACGGATTCCGGATGACGGGGACGCTGGAGGACCTGCAGCGGTATACCGTCGCCATGACAACCATTCTGAACGACAACGGCATCCCCTTCACCACAATCCAGGAGCTCGACCGTCAGAAACGCGTCCAGATCGTCCGGGAGAAAATTCTGGAAATCCGGCCTGACCTTGGTGCTGAAGCTGCGAATTCGAAGATTAAAGAAACCCAACAAAACTAGCACTAGTATCCAAGCAGATCATATGGTGGAAAGGCAGTATCCATTATCCGGAGAAATGTCCATGAGCCTTCGGTGGCCGTGCAAACTCCTCTGGCTAATGGATACTGTCTTGCCACCAAAAGGGATCTGCTTTGAGATAGCTAGCACCACGTATGTTGTAGAATGTTGTATAACTTCACACATAGTCTCTCATATCATTGTATCTTCTCTTTCATACATATTTTTTGTATCTGCAATTAGCCCTCGTACATGTATTTGGAATAACCTTTCCACTATTAGAGATAACAACAGATTATGACATCATCTACATCATTAAGGGCCACGGCGGCTCTTTACTCACCAGCAAGTCCATAAACTGAATTGAATCAACATAATTCAAGAAGAATTGTGATTTTATCTGTAGAGTAGGAGATATGAAAAGTAATCATGTGTACATGTATTAAACGATGGTGAAAGGTCTTAAGTGCAATATTGAATGAACGATCTAAAGTGCAATATTGTACAATATATGTATATATATATGTATAAGACGCTAGTATACAAAACTGGAGCATTACTATAGAATAGAGTGTTTGCATCTCTTCCTTGATAAGATTCTGACTGAGAGAGTATTTGTCTCCCAGCTGCAGCATAATAAGAATTGAGTGGCTCGGGAGAGTAAAAGATTGGATCTATCAATCCTTGTTTGCCTTTCTTTCACACCATTTTTGGTAACACAAGAAAGTGTAACTAGCGCCTTTGACATTTTACTATTCAACCCACCATTCAATACACAATGAGGTCTTTCGTTGGGCCTGCCCGGTCTTGTTAATATAACAAATGCACTCACAAGGTAAAGTTTCGACGAAACTATGACGTCAACTATTTCAACACGGATACATCAAATCAAATCAAACTTTATTGCACGACAATTGTAGCAGGTACAATGTATGGCAACTTTTGCACATGAACGACATACTAAGTCGGTATCAACACTATTACTTATATCTATCTAACACTTATAAGTTATGTATTTCAAAACTTGTCTAATACTACACTATCTTAAAAGAAAAAGAAAAAAGTGATATAATATACATGGAACAATGCTTACATGAGAATGTACAGGAGATCTCTAAAACTACAGACTAATTACTAAGCTATTTTGTGTATCTGATTCAGTACATAAACTCTGAGCAGATGTTGGGAGTAAAAGAACCCTAATACCCACGCAAGCGCAGATGTTGGGGTGAAAGATTGTAACGTTTTCTGACTGACGGGCTTCTCTGGCAGCCATGGTAGAGATCAACATAAGCAGTAATTTACCTCACCCTGACCTATAACCCTGTACCTGTCCGCAGGCTCCTACAAATTTTAAGGTAGAGGGCGCTGTTTAAACAAAAGGGGCGAAGACAACCTGACGTCATGGCATAGATACTGGTGAATCCCCGAGAAAAAGCCCCATAGTTTCGTACGTCAGTAGCGCGGTGGGCGGCTGAGGGCAGCAGACTGGTTAACTGTGGAGAAGAGCGACATGTACGGGGTGATCTCTCTCCTCATCGGGCAGCTGCAGGCCTGGTCGGCGGGGCTGACGTGCGTGGTCGCCGTGATCGTGACCGGCGCCGCCCTGGTGGTCACCTGGGGAGGATGGGCTTCAGGCAGGAGGGTGGACGTGCCGGGTGAGCTTCTGTCTCTTTAACCTCCTTGCTTTGACTACGTTGTTTTGGCAGACTCGAATTCACTGGGTCGTTGCGTTCATTTATTAACTTGACAATTAAGGCGTGGAAGCTGTTCTTAATCTTAGAAATGTCCACCTGGCCGATAGGAATAGGACATGTGCTTGTGCATGGTCGATCGAAAATTAAGAGTCATAAACTGGGGTTACGAAATCGTAGACTACTTTTCATGGTAGTAGTTCAGTTGATTTCTGTTTATTCTATCGTTCTGTATCTGCCTGCCATTTTCTGCTGCAAATGAATGTTTGTCCCAAATCATAATTTTTCATCCGCCCCATGGCCTACGGCTGGAAGATAATTGTGCCGATTATTATCGTCTCGCCTTGAAACAGTGACCTTGTGTACGTATAAAATTGTGTCCCAATGCAAGAGGCAATACTCCTAACTACGTCGTATTGTCCAAAGCAATCAGTTCTTCCACGACAGGAACACTTGTACGATCCAGACAAGAGATTCACAAATGGTCAAACCCGCCAATTATTGTTACCAACGCATGCTTTGACAATTGACAAATATTTTGCATTCGCCTTAAACCTAACCCTCACTTCTTGCAGATCTTCAATTCCACTTAATTTCTTGTCGTCTCAACCGAGTCGGTCTCCATTTTGGCTTTCCCCTGGCCCTGGCACCAAGAAGTTAAAATAAAAAAATGGACCTTTGCCAAGTTTCGGTACACGAAAAATATAACACATGTCATCTATACCAACAGGACCCCCGTGGTTACTAGGTTTCGGTCCGCTGATGAGTTTTGCCCGCTTCATCTGGATGGGCGTTCCTGTTGCCGCGGCTCATTACGGAGAGCGCTATGGGGACTTTGTCCGAGTGTGGATTGCAGGAGAGAGGACTTACGTCATCACACGGTCGGTGCTGTCTGAGTTATGCCATAACACTGATAGATTATTTTTTTGATATAGCAAAGTTAATCATTAAACATATTTCACCCAGACCTCTGGCCTCTGTATACACTACGTCAAAGTCAAGTCAAAGATTATTACACGACGATTGCATCAGGCTATCAGGTTACAGTCTATGGCAATTGCAAATAACACACGTTATGAAGTATGTACATACACTTTGATCACTTTGATATGTATACCGGATATTCGCCCGATTGAAACATGATATCTACATATATTATTAACAATGGTAATGATATATGGGTCGTCAAAGCTGTTTTAACACTAACATTTAAGCTGTTTTAACACTAATATTTAAGCTGTTTTAACACTAATATTTAAGCTGTTTTAACACTAACACTTAAAATGTTAGTGTATTCAAAGAGAAAATAAGTGAGAATTCTAGTTATCCCTAAAACACACACCCAATATACGCGCAGTTCATGTACATAAACCTTGTTGCCCGGCCGGAACGTTAAGGAAGATTTAATTAAATGGAACCAGCATGTGTGTTCTTGCTCATTGTCCTAGGCTTGGCTAAATACGACACCGCATCGCTCTAGTCCATTTGTAGCTACTTGAAAGAGCATGCTTCATCCACATTGAGGATGATATTAAACAAAAGAAGACTGTTGCGGTAAGCAGGTCGGATTGACTTGTTTCATCTACATGCCTGTATTCCCAGGCCGTCCGCTGCCTGGCACGTCCTAAAGTCTAACAACTACTGCCGGCGGTTCGGCAGCAGGACGGGGCTCAACACCATCGGCATGTATCAGAACGGCATCATCTGGAACGGGGACGACGGATGGAAGGTGCTCAGGGGGTTCTTTCAGAAAGGTGAGGGGGTACTGTCTTTTGGGGGGTATTAGTTGGAGAGTAATCAGAAATGTATGTTTGAGCCTTTAAAGTGGAATGAGTGAGAGAAAAGAAATGACAAACAGGGAAACACTATTCTGAGGTAAGAAACCTTTAAAAACCTTTCAACTCAATTTTTCATCCGTCAGCTCTCAACGCGGACACCCTGAACCGAGCAACAGCTGCAGCCGTGGACGCCACCTATCGGCAGATGGGTAACATTGCAGCTCTCCAGCGGAAGACAGCAGATGGGAAGATTGAAGCTCTGGATTTCCTGCGGCGGATCACACTGGAGGTTACCAACAACCTCACGCTGGGAGTACACATTGCAGACCGTGAGTCTTTCATTGTACCCTGATCTATAACTGAATTTCAGTTTAACAAGAAAGGTGATTGAACACATTGTCGATGTGTGGTACAAAGTGTAGTCTTGTACAATTGCACTGAGCAACTAACGTGTTCACAAACTTTTAACCCACTGAAGAACACAGCCTTTAACTTCATCATGTAACGTTATCAATGGAGAAGCAGTTCTTCATTCATCAGTTACCGATAACATCTTTCACTATGATATGATTTTTTTCCAGCGGATGATCTTGTAGAAAGAATTGTTCGGTACTTCAAGGCGTGGGAATTCTTCCTCCTGCGGCCTCCAGTCCTGTACCTGATGACACCTCGGCTGTACTGGAAGCACTGCCAGGCCGTGTGAGTCCACACGAATAGAAATTTCCACTGTTAATGAGATCATAGATTACTGCAATCATCTTAATCACTTGTGAAAACAAAGTGGACAGACTGACAGCAAGTACTTTCCTTCTATGGGTAATATACATTGTAAGTAACGCGTTAACTTGTCAAGTGGAACAGTAGATTTTCTCCTGCCCTGATTTACTCTTCATTGTGTTAACTTGTCAAGTGGAACAGTAGACTTTTCTCCTGCCCTGATTTACTCTTCATTGTTCTTATTATGCTTTGACAATTTCACAAAGTTTATTCCCTTTTTTCTCTCTTCAGGAAGGACTTGAATGAAGCTATTGCTGACCTGCTGTCAAAGAAAAGGGAGGAGTTAAAAACAGAGCCACCCAGCGATAAACCCGACTTCACAACATGCCTGCTGCAGGCTGAGGTGAAGATTTTTCTTTGGTGCAACCTCTGTGCCAAACATTTTCATATGATCACATTTTCTTGCTGAGTCTGCATTACATTTTTATGTCTCTTGATTCCTGAATCATGTCTCTACTGTGACAGTATCAAAATGCTGGCCAGCTGTGTTAAAGATCCCACCACACTTATTGAAAAGGGTAGGGGCCATTCCTGGTGTGAGTGGTCTAAACATTTCACATCACGTTTACCAAATACCTTTGGCCCAGTGTTGACGTCAGACCAGAAGCCATGTGACTAGTCTCAGTGGGTCAGTCTATTGAAGACGACCAGACTGTCTGGCCGAAAGCTCTAGGTAATTGCGCCAACCCAGTCTGACTCTAGAGGACTTAAAGAAAATCGCCCACGACCACCAAGTATGGCGCAGGACGCTGTGCAGATGAACAACTGACTTTGACAGGCCAATCACTAAGCTGAGAGGACCTATTAAATCAAGTACAAGTAGGTACAAGTAGTACAAGCTGGAACAACAGTTTTAACTGTAAACCGTTGTGCATGTGTGTTTGCAGGAGAGAGGTGAGGTGAGCCCTGCACACGTGCAGCAGTGTGTGCTGGAGATGCTGCTGGCAGGGACTGACACGTCGTCTGTCTCCATGTACTACCTGCTGGTGTCCGTCGCTGAGAACCCGCAGGTCGAGCTGCAGGTCTTGGAAGAGATGAGAGACATCCTTGGTAAGGACTGGTCCATAGAAGTGTGTAGAGGGAAGGGGGCGGGGGCATAGTACATTGATGGATATCTTCTCCTTCTACTGTGTTCAGCATTTGCAGTCTTGGAAAAGTCCTGCAGCTGCATGCAGTCTTTCTTCATCTTCATTCATTCTTAATTGCTGGATGGTAGTAGTAGTGCAATGTAGTAGTAATAGTATTCAATACTTGGATGTCCCACCTACACAAACTTTTGTCAAAGGCAGAGTTGTCTTGTTCCCACTCTTCTTTATGGAAAAGAAAAGGGTTTGTGTGGCCATATGTCCACTACGTACACACTCCCTCCCAATCCCCTTGGTGCTTACACTGACAGATGCATTATAACTTCTATGATATCTACCTACAGGAGAGCGTGACCCCACCAAGGCTGACCTGCCACAGCTAGTCTACCTGGAGCAGGTCATCAAGGAGGCCATGAGGGTCAAACCTGTCGGCCCAGTTATCATGCGCCAAGCTATGGAGGACGACAGGTTTGTGACTTTCATCAGCATTTACTATGAGCTCAAATCACAATCAGACTGTTCCTCTGACTGTCCATCACAGTTAGCAATTCAAACAACTGGAGAATGGCAGTAAATGGTTCAATGACTGAGAGCGTGGTAATGCGCAGGTTGATCAATGAGACTATGGTAATGAGCAGTCTGACCAATGAGAGCGTGGTATATGAGCAGTCTGACCAATGAGAGCGTGGTAATGAGCAGTCTGACCAATGAGAGCGTGGTAATGAGCAGTCTGACCAAAGCGTGGTAATGAGCAGTCTGACAGATGAGAGAGTGGTTGCATCTGCATCAAATATCTGCATTTTTATGTTGCTATTTTGCATTTTGTAGGTTTTTGAGGAAGGTGGGCAGGGCTATGGGGTTGGTCTATACCTGTAAAAAAGCAGTATCATATTGGGTAACTCTTGTATATAATATTTCCCATTTCTTATCTTTTTGGATTTTAGCCAGTTTAAGCTTCTGAGTCAAGTGTTTTAGGCACAGCACATCTATTGGTTGCGAAGTTAGGTAGCACGGAGAAGGTTAAAAAGTGGTCCCTCCTTGTGCAGGGTTGATGGGATTGAGACTCCAGCTGGGACCAACATCATCCTGAACCTGGCAGACATGCACAGACGCCAGGAGAACTTCCCTGCACCTGACGACTTCAACCCTCAACACTTTCACAACAAGGTGCACAGATATGTGATATCTTTAACAACGACTGCTATGATGTTTGAAATATTTGTACAAATGTCATACAGAAATCACAGTATCACAGAACATTTGCTGGTATATGCCAACCTTCTCTTTCCTATTCATGTATGATGAGTTTTCCACATCACCCTTAAGGTATTGTTTTAAAGATTGAATGACTTGTCTTTTGGATTGTCTTATGGTTTTATATTCACTATGACATTTGCTAATGTCATGTTGAAAATAGTCTTAAATGTAAATCTCCTTTTCTAAACTATTTTCTGCACAATGTTTGCACAACTAATAGAATGTTGCATGGATTTAGATGACCCTGCATTGTCACCCCCCTACAGGAGTTCAAGGGCGAGTATGTTCCATTTGGCACCGGTCCAAAGGGCTGTATTGGTCAGTTCCTGGCCATGATTGAGATGAAGGCCATCATGTGCACACTGCTGCGCAGGTACCACCTGCGTGCAATACCTGGAGAGTCGCTAGAGGGCATCAAGACTCACTGGGACATTGCGCAACAGCCCGTCGACGCTAGTTACATGTACTTTGAAGAGAGAAACTAGCTCGTCGGTTGGATTGCAAAGCTCCCAAGGTTTCCAAATCATCAAAAATTTCAACACTAAAGTATAGACTGCATACTGTTAGGAATAAAGCTGAGGCTGATTTATGTTTGAAAAGTTTTACTAAACACTATAATATCTGCTGTACTCTAGCATACAAAAAAGGTAGTTATGATGGAGATACATTTCAGTTTCATAGTGCAGTTTACAAAACAGGCACTTGCATTAATTCAGATGATATTAATGATATCTAGAAGTTTTTCCTACATAATTTTGATTTTCTTCTTGGCGATTTGTTTACACTCTCCCTCCTGGCTGGAGAGATGGTGCATGATCTCCTTCACTTTCCTCTTCCTCTCCGCATCCCTGGGGACAAACAGACATGTCAGTTACACGTGGAGTCAGAAATGTGGCGGGGCATTAGATTGACAGCACAGAATTTAGATGTCAAAACTTCACTCCTTCATACCATTGGATTACTGCATGTGTTTTTAGATTCTCTATGGATATTGCAGAATTAGCAGAACTTCAGAAATCAGATTCTATAATGTGTTTTTAATGAATCCTCCTAGAAATTGACAGAAAAAGAGTGGGAAATCAATACATGTGCATGTGAGAGGCTGTGAGTACTGACTAAAGACCAAAAAGTCGTATCAGTAAGAAAAACCCCGCAGTGCATGTTTAGATCTGTGAGTACTGACTTGTCCATCTGGTCCTGGAGCTGCTGCCTGGCCAGGAACTGGGCATCCTTCCTGATCTCCCGCACGGCTCCCTTCAGCTCACGCTTGTGCATCTTCTGCAGACGCTCCTTCTCCTTCTGCTTACGACTGCCCTTCATCTTCCGCTCAGGGTTGTAGCTGGGCAGGAAACATGTAAGATGTTAGCACTAGCCTGACTAAATCATACTTCTAGCAGCCCTCCCACTGGTCAGGCCTGGACAGTGAGAGTTTGTTTGTTTTACACATTCTATGTTAGTCTTAGTTGGGGCCTGATCACATTCATTGTATGATCATTGTACATTTCCAGACTGAATTCAGTCTTCGGATAGTATTGCATATGTCCTGCAAAATTCAGCTCTCTTGTTATAAATAGAAAAGTCTGTCTTAGATTCTTGTCATAAGGTTGTTCTATTGAAGCCTGTTTGAAAATCTCACATTGTACAACGAGGAACTATGACAAATGTCTCCTAGCTATCAGATGAAGATAAGATGATACGTGATTACAAAGTTTGTACAACATCCATAGACTGTCACAGTCTGTCTATGGCATAGTTATACCACCAACAACTCACATTCTCTGTTGTTGATGTATAAATTGTGGTCCATAACTTCAAAGGTCACATATTAACATGTTGTTATATGTACATCTATACATCAAACAGCAGTGTTTAGTCAATCTCCTAAAGGATAGCTTGAAACAGTGAAGGGTGGTTATACTGACTATACAGATATCTATAGCAGTACTTACTCCTCATCAAACTTGGGTTCATACAGCTTGAGTGGTTTGGGCTTGAGTTTTTCATACTGCAGGGGAGGGTACGTAGCCTGACTGTGGTGGTCTGTCATCAGCTGTAGGAACTGGGACCTGGCAGCCTGAAACAGGAGGCAGCAAAGTGGGTCTTTGAGGATGAAACTGTGATATGTTAATATATACTGTCATGTACTTTACTACAAGGTGCCAGCAGTGTATTGTAATTGTATACAGTATACATGTTCTGTGATAGTGCTTAGTAGGTGGAGGTTTAGGTACATGTATATGGATATGCAGGATTTATGGCTACCAGGTTATTTCAGATAACTGACAAAGCTTGTACTTAGCAACACTTGAATCTTGAAGTTTGTGTTAAAACACTTGATGATTTTGAAACTGCACAGCATATTCTTAAAGGTACACTGAGAATGTATATTATTGATCTTAGTGGTGAAGACAATGATGATATCAAGAGGATTGAAAGACAATATTGCACTGACTTCATTTTTAAAAGTATCTTCAAGTTCAATAAACTCTCAGAGCTTCTTGAGGATAACTGTGAACCCAGACCTACAAATGTACCTGCACTTTTTGTGGACAGGCATCCAAGACCAGATGTTTTGAAAGAAGGTCTCTGATTGGTGAGAAAGTCTCATGGAATGCTGGGAGATTCTTGTACATGTTGGCAAACTTGTTGGTGAGTTGAAGAGTAGCATGGGTGGCACACATTCTGAAAGCAAAATAGGACAATATTATGTAATTCTTGCTTCATATGAGAGCATTTTCTTAATTACCAAATGCTTGTATACTACATGTACCATAGTAGGCTTTTGGTCAACATGGTTACAAATGAAGTGTTTTTTCTCTTTTGACACCAGCTTTTTTTGTATTATGAAGCTATAGATACATTTAAGAGATGTATATACACTAAGGTGTGAGTCATAACAAGTTGCCTCTTCGGACACTCTTGCATGTACAGAGTTAAAGTTTCTGGAACTTCATTGTCAGATCTCTTAGATCCTCTCACCTGAAGTCATCAGTGTCTGTGTCTTGTGTGGGGTTCTTGGAAAGATAGTCCAAAGCCAAGGGCTTAATATCAATAGACCTACGAAAAAACATCACAACATGACTTTTCGTGGTATTGAAGGTCTCTGAAGTAGAGTCTAGAGTAGTGCAAAATGTAGCATCAACTTGTAATGGTGAAAAAAGATGTAATTGCAAAGTTTCAATAGTAAATAGCTGGAAAACACTCTGTACACCACACTCACCTTGAGTCTGAGTCTTGTAAGACAAGCAGACTGCCTTCTGCACCAGCGTGTTTGAAAGGTGGGACAACTTCAGCAACTGATGCTGGAAGGGTACAAAATTAAAGTATAAGTCAAGACTCTGTATTTACTTGAATTTGTATTTACACTACAGGCAGTTACTGTAGTTAACTAGGGCAATTCATGAATGGCTGTTCATTATTGTGTACGCCTGTAAACATACACAGGGTGGTATCCAGTATCATGGCTAAACACAACATAAATAGAAATAAATGGCGAAAGGACAATATTCTGCAATAAATTCCATTATTACTGGCATCTTTATGATATAGATGTTGTATAAATAACATGAGTACCAAACCTTTTCCAGATTCTTTCTTTACAGCAAGGTAGAGAAGTCCGTGTAGGTAGTTTATAACCTCAGGCACAAATCTTTTGGACAGGGACACATACTGTAAAAAAAATACACAATCATGTTGAAATCAGATATACACAGATAGACACACACACACACAAACATGCCTTTCAAACGGTGTAATCCATGATTTAACTACAATATAAGGTAACCATGACAATACCAACCTACCTGAAGAAAGAGTGTACAAACAAACAGACCACAGGCCACGTCTCTCCCAGAAGTCACCGGGCACTGTAGGGAGATATGTAAAAGGTCAGATGGTATGGTAGGAACTTTCTACAAACTTAAATGGACACTTCTAAAGAGGATTTGTCATGTGTGGCAAGTTCTGTAATGTCATGATTGATATTGTTAGCATTATATAATTTCTGCTGGTATATGTGCACATACAGTGTAAGAGACTTGAAATTGGATAAAGAACCAATGCATGAGTAAGACTGAAAAAGAACATTCAAGAAAATGACAAGGTGTGCCACTTTCTGGCCCATGTGTAAAGGTCTCAAAATATATAACAAAAGCTGCTATCCAACCTTAGTGAGAATCTGTGCCATGAACAGCATGGCCGGGGTGACCACACTGTGTCTGAAGTCTGAGGTGGGGAAGATCACTGACACCAGCTTTAACAGCAGCAGCTGGAGAACAATATCAATACTTAGGCTAAAGAACAACATCAGTACTTAGGCTGAGCTTCATCATAGCTGACAGGACACTGTTTGTTTCAAAGTTTCTGAAGACATCAACTTGCACCATTTCATTCAAGACACATTTAAAACTGTTCAAGAAGGCCACTCAGGACCAATAAAATCTGGTCACTATATAGACAGGATTCTTAATGCTTACATCAAAAGGAACAATTATCTAAGGAACCACCAAAAAAGTGGTGATCCTTATGTACAGGTGGTCACTAATGTGCAGATTTGCTTGTATCACATGATATTATAACATTGAATGACGTGTAAACAAGAACTTCTTTATAATTTCCTACACTCCAAGGGCTCAAACAAGTCTGCCTGTTCTGTCAATTAACGTTTAGCACACATAAATACCAATCAGCCATTTTTTATTGGTTACTCAATTCTCCATTGGTTACAGGGTTACGCAGCACGGAGAACGTTGAAAGACTTACCGTGTCCACAGCAGGATAGACGGCCCTCCCTTTCCTCTGACAGACAGAGTCAAACTTGTGATACTTGTTCTTCAGTACAGTCTGTACTGACTCAGCTGCAGGGCCTGGAGACTGCTGGGCCAGCTCATACAGGTGGCTGTAAGAAAGGAAGACAAGGAACGAACCATAAATTTCAGATTTTTGGGAATCATGCAATCCTCGGCTTCTTGAATTCCCCCATGTTGACATCTCAGGCTCATGGCCAGGTTCTTTGATCTCCTGTCATTTTGCTTGTGCTGTCAACCTACTCTGTTTTAACACACAGATACACACACGAACAACTCAGCTACCCAAAACAATACTCACTCAAGACACAGATACTCACATGGTTAATCCATCAATCATCTCCATGGCAACTGGGCTCTGATTGGCCAGCTTTCCAAAGTACTCCAGTAGGATGGAGAACAAATCCTGGAAAAGAGAAATAATTGCATTATATCTTGACAATTTCAAATGAAATTATCTAAAATGTTTGAAGACAGCTATACACTAAGTAAGGTGGTCTTCAAAAGATTCCATAGAGTAAAACATGAGATTTGTCCCTACCTGAAGTTTCTTCTTGTTGCCCTCAGCCAGGCTAGGATGATGACATTTCCTGATCCTGTGGATGATAATCAGCTGCCTGTCATAGGACTGGCCTTCCATCAGTTCCATAAGGTCTTTCAGTGACTCCGGTGCTGAGAAAAATAAATAAAAATAAAAAACACCAAGTGTTATACTCAAACATTTCTTAAAAAGAGCATTTCTCAAACAAAGGTGTTTAACATTGCTTTTGATACTGGAGTTGATTGCGCAATGCAGAAGTTCAGAACAGCTTGTTTTGATGATCCAAGCATGCAAAGCACATTTTCCACACATTCATATAAAACAAATTAAGAGATATGCTAATTTTAATCTTACCTTTGAAAGTGTAAGGAAGTTCTGTTTTGGCTGCTTCAGCTATAGCCTTCCTTTCCTGACAAGAATATGTGAGAAACATCTTGGTCAAAATCAATCAGTGGTAAGACATGATATGGATCAAAACATATAGATGATAGCATAAATTCTTAGAAAAAATAGTACAGTAACAAAGCATCTACCAGAGAAATGAAGTCTGTACCTTTTCAGATATTCTTGTCTTCTCTGTTACTTCAGTTTCCTGTTCACTTTTGTCATTCTTGTCTCCCTCCCCTTCTTCCTCCTCTTCACTTCCATCTTTGTCTCCTTCCTCCTCCTCAGAGCCCTCTTCTTCAGACTTCTCTGATTCTAAGTCAGAGCCATCATCTTCCTCTTCTGATTGGTCACTGTCCTCACCTTCTGATTGGTCAGAATTCTCTTCTTCTGATTGGTCCTCTTTGTCTTCATCTTCTGATTGGTCAGCTGCAGCCTCACTGTGAGGCTTCCTTCTGATTGGTTTATCTTCTGTATCTGTGTAGCAAGAAAGCATATTAAAGTATAAGTTACTATTATTAAGAACTGGATTATTAAGAACAAAGTCCATTCTACTATAGTAAACAGAAGGAAAAAGTTACCAGAGGTTGATGGCATCAACTCTTTTCCTTCTGGGAGTAACAGTTTCCCATCTTTGTAGGCCAGCTGAAGTCTCTCTGGTCTGATGAAGTCAAATCTGTTGGGACATTGTATCAAACATTCAAACACAGTTACAATGTATGAACTTCCCACACACACTCACTCAAAAGGACACAGCACTTATCAGCAACTTTTCTTTTTGACATATTCTCAATACTCTGTCAAGCAAAGGATACATTGTACAATCATGCATTTCTGAACAAAAGAGAAAACCCCTTTGACAACAGTAAGATTATCATTTTTCTGTGAATGTCCTGGCAGCTTGTTGCATCAGTATTGCTATTATTGCATAACACATGCATGTATCTTGTACAGGTGGGCCAGGGGTATAATTGTACATAGACCTACCCATCATCCAGATCATCTGCAGACACGTGTCTGTTCTGCTGCTGTTGTCTGATGTCCTCCTGGGTTAGTCCTTTCATTCGCAGTTGTCTGTCAGCCTAGGAGGGGGTAAAAATTACCTTCATTTGTACACTTCAGGCTCACACTACATTGACAATTGTACAAAAATGTACATGGCATGTCCTCTCCTCTGACAGTTCTCCTGATAGTTTTTCTGTATCTGTATTGGTATAGCTGGTATAGTCGCCCTTTGGTGTAACACACCAGCTCAATATACAATGATCATGCATACTTTTAGAAAACCTGAGAAAACAGTATCTTAGCTCACCCTGAGCTCACCTCTAGTTTCTGTAACCTCTCCTGTTCTTCTCTGGCCAGCTCCTCTTCTGTTTTCAGTCTGTCAGAAGCCTGGAATAAAGAAAGGAGAGTTAGTACATGACGCTGCGGTTATATAAAGTAAATGTGGATTCCAGCTGTGGAGTGATCTAGATAACGAGGTGAACTAATATGAACTAAATGAGGTGAACTAGGTGACTGACCTTGGCCTTGATCTCAAAGCCGAGTTCTCGCACCATGATGTCATAGTCGTCGGGTTTGGGTTTTTCTCTTTCCTCCTTGGGTTGGGACTTGGACTGTAGAGGTAAATCACGATGGTATCAACAAAATTTAGAGTTGGTAATATTCAGCATTAGCTTAAATACTGACTGAATAATGTACTAATTTCACAAAGTGTGAAATAAGATGCAAAACCACTAAACATCAAAGACAAAATCCGCCCAAAAAGTGTGAAATGCAGTCCTACATTAACATCCTACAAATAAAAACAACTGTTCAAGACAAAGTCCGATATTTTTGTCACCTTTTTCTGGACCAGCATGTGATTCTGAAGTTCTGTCCACTGCTGGTCCAGTTTTTCCCTCAGGTCGTCAGTCTGCTCCTTCTGGTGCTGACGCTCATGCTGAATACAACAACAGATGGGCAATGTTAGAGTCAACATTATCACAGAAAGTACTCAAACTAGAAACACATCAAACATGTACCTTATGCTTCTTGCTGAAATCATCATGGTATAAGATTATGAAATCTGCCTAATTGCAACACAGCTGACCTTTCTTCATAACAATTGGCTTTCTCTTTCAACTGTTATTCTTGTATTTAATGATGTAGAAAACCATTTGTAAACTGTACCTTCCTCTGCTTGGACTGAGCGATGATTTCTTCTATCATCTCCTGCCGTGACTTTGGCTTGTCTGACTGGTTGCGGATGGGGGGGGGGTAAGGAAGCATAGAGTCACTGATCAGCATGAACAATAGTAATGTTAGTAAATCAGGGGAAAATAAGCTACAAAAAGATCTGAAGTGTGTCACTGTACAAAATCTGCACAATCTGCAACATACCTTCTCCTCATTGTCCTTGGCCGTCTTCTTGGTCAGAAAGCCTCCAAAGTGAGCCTCCTTCACATATTCACCTGTAAGGAAACATTTGTCACTAAACTGATCACAGAAAGTCTTTGACTTGAACTTTTAGAGAAGAATGTGGTATCTGAGATACCAAGGTAACAGTTACTCAAGGCACTTATTTGATTCTGGTACCTGAGAGCTTGCCAGTGGCATCATCATCAGAGTCACTGTCTGGTTCCTCAAACTTCTCAATCTGAGACAGGGACTGTCCGAAGTGAGTCAACTCCTCTTCTTCATTCAGGCTGAAGGCACTGGCCTTCTCATGGTGAGTCTACAGACATCAGAAAGAGTTCATATGGGAATTATTATGGACTTGATTTGTTTGCTCTTGTTGGTCTATATTGTATTGTTCTTTCCATGTTTGAACATTTGATTGTCTCAATGTTTTTGTTATTTTGGCTGGCATCTATAATGTAACATAATTCATCATTCATTGTGGTGTCAGTTGTTACATGTAGTTATCCTTTGTGATAACTCACTCACTCTTGGGTAAATCACTCTCATTGACAAAAAGGACTATCTGAATGTCATCATCATCAAGAAATGAACCAGGCAATTTTCACATGTCACAGCTTAGTAGATATCTAAATAACTTTACCCCCTATGTTCTATGTCCTGTACCTTCCTCTCCATGGCAAATCTCTGCAGCATCTTGTCTTCCAAGGTCATCTCAGGGTCGTTCTCCCCCAGACGCCGGTCCACAAACTGGTTCCGCTTGTCTCGCTGCTGGTACTCCTGCAGGAGGGTGGCTTTCCTCTGAAAATTTATTGAATGCGAATTAAATAACAATAACAGGTAATACAAAATAGAACTAGAAAGGTAAACGTGCAAAGCAAATGCATAATGCTTACCTTCACATGGTCTAACCCTAAAACACTACTGCTCTGTTTATTCTTACATTCATATGCATGGTGACCAGCTCCTACAAGTACAACTTGCTACATAACTGTAATCCAGCACCAGTTACTATAGTGACAGCCATCTGGTCCAGGCCATATTGACCATATGTGTTTAGAGAAGAAGAAGAAACTGAGCAAGAACAATATGTTTTCCTTCTGCAAAAGTTAACATAATATAAAAATTCCATCACAAGATATGAAGTGATCTCGAGTCTAGACTTACCTTTTTGATGGCCTTTGACCTGGACACGCCCGGCATGCCCTTGTCAAATTTGCGTAGCTTCTTCCCCAGGACGTTGTGCTTCTGTCTGTTAATCCGCACTTCAAAGGGGTTGGACTTCACATCGGTCTGAAAATCACAAAGAAATGCCCAAAAGATCAACAGGTAAAGCAGGTAAAGAGTTTCTTTCAAATGGAAGACAGCAAGCATACTAGTAGTGTGAGGGTGCTGTTTGTGACTTTTAAGTTTAAGGAGAGTCATGAACATCATCAGTGAGCTTGAAAGCCAACCTCTCCATTGTGTGTACCCAACAGCTTTAGACATTATTTGCCAGGTTGGCACATATAAATGTATGTCACTTTTTAAAATCCTTTCTCAGTCCTTAAATGATTTACAAAGTGGCCGTGGAGACTCTTGATTCGGGCTTACATTGCATTACCCTCAGCAAATGTAAGCCCAAATCAAGAGTCTCCACGGCTACAAAGATACCCAACTTATAGTCCTGAAATCTTACCTGTGCTTTCTTCTTATTCTTCCGCACAAAGTCTGCTTTAGACGAGTACTTGTGCTTCATCTTGGAGGCGCTGCTCGTCTTGCGGTAAGTTCTGAGACATAGATATGACAAAATAATTTATGCATGGCCCTTCATACTACCCTTCATAACTATATTTTTTAACGCACATTTTAGATTGCACAAACGTACCTACACTGTCTTCAAAAACATACATACATGTTACGATAACTATCACCAATGTCAGGCTGAGTCGAGCAGTTCAATAAGCCTTAGTTCGTATCCTTTCTTTCTGTAGATTTATAGCCCCCCTCCCTCCCAGGTTAGCCAACACACATGTTGGTAGCCGCGGCGACTGTTGCAGGGCTTCTCTTGCTTGCAGTCTTTTACAGTAGCCCTAACAACAGTCGCGGAGCGGTGCATTGGGCCAAATGAACAAACATACGTTTTACCGTGCCGGAACACTTTGGGACCGAAGTTTGCACGTCCCTGGATTGCTAACAGCCTCACCTAACGTGCCGGGGTGTTTTGCGCGTCAACCGGCCCCTGCGCGACTCGTGCCGCCACTATTTGCGATCTCTCCCCACGTAAAACATAACAGTTGGCCGCCATTTTTGATTGGAATCAGCCGCCGGCAAATTTGTCGCTACTTTTCTGATAAGCTATTTCTACGGATCAGAAAAGTAGTGGCACGTTTGCAAGTAGCTGATTCAGCGCGCGGCTGACCAAGATGGCGGCCACTCGGCTTATGAATACATGGGGAGCGATCGCAAATAGTGGCGGCACGAGTCGCGCAGGGGCCGGTTGACGCGCAAAACACCCCGGCACGTTAGGTGAGGCTGTTAGCAATCCAGGGACGTGCAAACTTCGGTCCCAAAGTGTTCCGGCACGGTAAAACGTATGTTTGTTCATTTGGCCCAATGCACCGCTCCGCGACTGTTGTTAGGGCTACTGTAAAAGACTGCAAGCAAGAGAAGCCCTGCAACAGTCGCCGCGGCTAACATGTTGGCAGATTTAGCTTAACGCGTGCGGCATTCCTACGCATCTACTCGTCCATTGATTGCCCTTTAACTACAACAAGCAACTCAAAACGGTTAAACAGTAACTTACAAAAGTGTTGAAGATCACAAAATGTGTCGGGAACCCTTATTGTCGTGAAAAATCTGCATCAAACTTCAGACAGCGTGTTCTCACATGCGATCGGTCGCCATCTTGGGGTCACGTTGCGGGTCACGCACTGCTCTATGGCGCCACCTAGCGAGGTACGTATGAAGACAGAGAACAGGTAGCCGACTTGTGGTTTTGTTATAGCCATACCGCTTCAGCTGCATTAGATTTTGAAGAAAATCCGGAATACTGTTTACGATTTTCATGTTTCTTTTCTTTAACAGGACCTGAAGCTGTAACGTTACATTCTTAGGAAACCCTCCAGTAACTTTGAATGCTTTAAAGAACCTCTGTGACGTCGGTGTTCTATCTCCAACGTGGTTATGGGTGTGTTTAGAACAACACGTTTCCCGGGGGCCGCTGAACAGGTCGTCACGACCGGACGCTCAGTCGGTGGCCATGTGTGATTTCTTACTGAAGCTAGCGAGTTGTTGGTGCCTGACCAAGGACGGAAAAGTGTCACCAGGAGACTGGGATGAGAAGGCAGTGAAAGATGTGAAGGGAATTTCTGTAAACGCTGTGGAAGAGGACCTTTCTGTAGATGTCGCACAACATGATGGGAAGATACAGAGAGAGCAAAGGTATATGTTAAACGCGCGCGCGCGCACACACACACACACACACACACACACACACACACACACACACACACACACACACACACACACACACACACACACACACACACACACACACACACACACACACACATATAAATACATACATGTACATAACACATACACACAAACCTTGGCCATCTAACGTCTGCTTTAGGTTCGGGACTGGTGCCAGTGACGAAGTGTCCATCCGCCCCGATGTCCCAGCCGAGGCCGAGCAAGTCGTCATCCGACGTTTTAGTCCAGCTGCGAGAAGAGGGCGTGTTACCCCTCAAATGTCACGGGGACGCCGTGGCCTTCGAGGTGCCGGCCACCGCCGAGGAGCCCAGCTCCCCGTCGACGTCGAAGCGTCCGCCGCGTCGCCCGATCAAGCTGTGCAAGTTGGAGGAGAGGATGGAGGAAAGGCGGAGGCAGTTCAAGAAGAAGTCGGCAGGGTCCGGGACGGAGCTGAGGAGAGAGCTCAGCAACGCAGACGTCAGGAGACGGGTGAGAAAATGTTCATATACTTTTAATACTTGACAGAGAGATTTCAGACACAACTTCTCCTAGAATCCAAGTATTCACAGATATAAAGTAGCCTTTACCAGGCTTTGGGAGTGTTAAACTGTACTCTCTAGTGGACTAAATCCCCTGGGATATTATCTTGTCGACTAGTATATTTTAGCAACATCATGAAGGTAGAAATCTATGAAATATCATGGCAATATCTACTTTTTCCAGCCGCTTCCCGAAGCCTGTTTGAGGCTAAGGTATACTAGTAAGCACACACGTCTGTCCCTCTCCATTGTTCCGTAATTTACGCAGGAGATTCTAGCTGAAAGATCCCGCAAACTTGCCGACCAGACGGAGAAGAAGGCGGCCAAAGTGACGGCAAAGAAGCCGTCTGGAGGGACAGCCTTCGTCCTGACGTCTGTGAGCGACTCCGACGTCATCGCAACGCGCGAGAGCCGGGAGATGAAGGCCCTGGAGAGGCGGCTGGCCCTGAGGAGGGCCCGGGTGGCCAAGAGGGCCTCCTGGGAAGACCAGCGGAAGCGCCAGGAAGACGCCGCGGAACGACGCCAGGTGGTGTTACACGTAGAACCAAAACACATGCAGTAGGATATTGGGGTTTTCTTTCACACAACCATTAAAACTCTCACCTTTCGATGCCTATCAAACATCTTCCACGGTTTCTGACCGGAGTACGGATTCTCGCTGCTACATGTAGCCAGTGTAGGCGGCACGTTTACTGGTTGTGTAAAAGGAAACCCAAATATACTACGTTGTACCAACCTGCTGATGAAATTATTTTAGGAAAACTCATGCAAGTTTTGCATCTTTCTAACTATAAAGCAGGGAGTATCGTTTTTTCTTATACATATAAATAGCTGAACATACAAGTTGACATACATGGATCTGTCTGAAAGATTTTATTACATCGCTTTCTGTTTGACTCTTCGTCCCTCCCACCTCCAGGTTCAGGTGGAGGCGACCGTAGCCAAGGCCAAAAAGTTGGCGGCCGGACCCAGCGTCAGCCCCGTGTCGGAGGAGGAGGATCCCGAGGGCTTCTCCTGGGACCAAGAACCCCTGGAGACGTACGAGCCAGACGAGTCCGACCTCCAGGAGTACGTCTTCTAGGAGACAGTTGTCAATAAAGCTTCAGACAACATGATTAGCTTTGTGACTTTAGTTCCATGACTCCGAGAGTGTGTGCTTAATGACCAGTCAAAAGGGTTTAGTTTCATCATCAGCTTTTGTTGCGCGCACGTGACGTAATGCAAGGGCGATAAGCTAGACCAACAATACTAGTAGTGGCCCTAACAGTAATATACATTTCTGGCGGCAACAATCTATAATATAGTTCAGTCCAAAATATGTACGTTTACCACTCACTTTTAATTACAAAGCTTTGTTAATACATACGTTAGTTTGTTAGTACCGTTAGCACGCCTGCTTGTCTCCCTGACTTTATATTTCATTGCCAAAAGCGGCTTTAGCTTACCCCAGCAGTACTATACATGTATAAATGACAAAATGGCAGCATGATAAAAATGTGTTGGTATGTGACAATCATTCACAGAAAGGAAAGAAAACAATTTTACGTCTAAATTTCACTACAAAAATACGGGATTGCAGCAGCAGTGCCAGTGGCTATGTCACGTAAATATAAAAGATTCATTTACGTATACTTGGTGAAGTGTTCTGTTCCAATATCTAGTAATGTATCTTGAAGCAATTCATGAAATCATTCCTATTATCTACAGGGTTTTATGATCACTTTACATGATACTATACACATTGTTAAGGCAAATATATACTATTACAACATTGGATTCTCATTTAGGTCAATAGACAGTCATATTGACGAAAACACAATCCGTTTTATGTCCACTCGGTTTCTCAGTCCTATTTCCGGCCATTTTCGTCGTTTTGTAGCAAGTTGCTCTTTTGGCCGTTTCCAAGGTCAAGGTAGAACTTCCTGCAATTCCAACAGAAAAAAGTCATTGCCGTTGCTATAGTTGGGTGTTATGATAGTTGGAACATCACATATGGCTAATTGTTAATGCGGAATGCACTGGTTCACTGTCTACGACATCATATCCGGAAGAACAGCTCAATATACCAGAGGTTGATTTGCAAGTGTTGTCTACATTACATTACAAGCACAGTACAAACTAGAGACTATACCAGAATGTGCTCTAAAAAGAAGGGGTAACCTCAATCTATTTTACCTCTATTGGCCCTCGTGATGTCTCCCATCGACACTGCTGTGGGCCTCCGCGTCGTTCTCGGACACTGGAACCGCCTGCCTCTCGCCGATTCTTTTATTGAGCTGTTCGAAGACCAGGTCGTTGATAGACTGTATGGTTGACTTCTTGCCCAGCAGAGAGATCCTTGGAACGTCCACGTGAAACTTGGTCTTAAAGATGTTCTGCGCGGTGAGTGCCAGTAGCGAGTCCATGCCCATGTCGACCACTGAACTGTGAATGATGTGTCCGGCTTCGTCTTCCGTGTTCAGAAGTTTATCAAACACTTTTCGAGTCAAGGAGTCAATTGCCTTCCGTCTGTCTTCTTCCTCCATTTGTCCCAGGTTGTCGAGATCTACAGGTGCGGTCAACGTTACGTCATCTGGAATTCCCTCATCAGTGTCCCCTAGAAGCGTTCGCACCCTTTTAAAATCCGGAAACCCTTTCAGCGCGGACGCGAAACGGTACCGGTCTAGGTCCACAGCTATCATTTGGACGGGGTTGAGAACAAGACAAGATTCCAGACACTCTGAAATTTTGTCTTTGTGCAAAGCTCGGATTCCCCTTTTCTCCAAGGTTTTAGCAAACATTCTGTTGCTCTCTTCAACCTCCAACTGCAAGGCACCCCAGTTGATGGTCTGACCGGCCATTTTCATCTGGCGACGGAGGCAGGCGAAGCCGTCTAGGAAAGCGTTAGCCGCCCCGTAGCTTGTCTGTCCACCGCTTCCAAACACCGAGGACATGGACGAGTAGCACACGAAATAATCGAGGTTGAGATGTCTTGTGGCTAGATGCAGGTTCCAGGCGCCCAACACTTTGGCATCCATTCCCTTTTTGAACTGAGCGTGACTCTGGTTGATCAGAATCCCGTCGCTGATTACGACAGCACAGTTGAAAACGCCCTTGAGAGGCATGCCGGGAAGGTAGTCCCTGAGCTTGCCCAATGCAGCGGCGACGCTGCTGTAAGATGTGACGTCAGCTGTGAGGCATACGATTTTTGCTCCGTGCTTTTCTCCGACGCTCCTGAGTTCCGCCACGGTGTCCGCCTTGGGTTGACTGCCGGACACAGTGACGATGTTCCCCGCACCTCTTTCGGCAAGGAACTTCACGGTGAGGAAACCCAGGCCGCTCAGACCGCCGACGATTACGTAGACAGCGTCACGCCTGAAGAGCGCGTTTCTCCTACAGATGACGGGAGTGCCCTGTACTTCATCATCAGACTGTGTACTGAAACAGACCATGCCGATCTCTGTCCTACTCTTTGTTTCCGCATCATGACGATCTGCTGTGTGAGGGGACGAGGACAAGGGGATTTCCGTAAAGGGAAGATCCATGCTTATCTTCTTTGGAGACAGCAACGATATCCATTTAAACACCTTCGGCATGATCCTGTTTAAATTTGTCTCGTGGAACACTGTGCTTGTGTCGACCCTCAAAACTCGTACATCTGGCCTGATTCTGAGGGAAGCACTGATTTGTTGGTTCTTATTTGAAGTATGGCAGCTCAGGTAGACGACTTTTCCATTCTTAGCCACCACGTCTGCAAGCTGGGATCTAAGGGGCGTTTGTAGCCCTCCGAACACAACAACTGTGTCCATCATGGCACTTGGCAGACTGTTCGCCTTTTGTACCATGTAACAGGTAGCTTTTAAACCCCGCGCTACGGCTTCAATGACTTTTGCCGCAGGTGAAGACGTGCCTGTGGTTTCTTCTATCAACCAGACGTTCTGTTTGGGCTTGATGTTCAGCAGGCGTACCAGAATTTCCCAGGCCAGAACAAAATACGACAAGCAGGGCTGGTTCTGCAAAAGTGGGAGATCGGACAGCTTGTGGACGACTGACGCGGGAAGGGAGACGACAGATGAAGCTACCGCAGGGTACACACCGGCCACGCGGTCACCGACACGAAGCTTGCCCTTTGAGGGTACCCGCACTACGGTTCCTACAAAGTCCAGGCTGAGGAGGTCCCACCCACGATCGGCGTCAAATGGCCAGTGGATCACATGCCCGATTTGAGCTTCACCGGTAACTGCATACATGTTCTCTGGCTGAACGTGACACCTGTGTACCTTGATGCTGACATGCCCGGCTCGTGATTCTACACGCTGGTTGTTGTAGACTGCGTGGATATTCACGGGTGTTGTGGGGTCTGTGGTCTGAATCTTCAGCCTGCATCCCTCTTCAGCGCTGTTGATCCGGTACGAGGTAGACTCGCCGCGTAGCGGGGACGGGACAATCTCCAGGAAATACTTCGTGCTTTCGACGCACATGATTTCGGTGGAGCTTTCCAACTCGTTTGTGACAAGCTCGTGAAGAAGCGTGTATATCTCGAAGTTGTCGCCGGAAGACAAGTCGACAAGCTGCAGTGACGGGTAAGCCCCCTCCCTGATAGCGCAGCGGATCAAACCCCACAGGGGCGCTCCGACGAGATCGATCAGACCATGCCAGGCGCTGTCGACGTCACTTCCCAACGACTCTTGCCACATGGAGAACTGGACATTGCGCGTGACGACTTTAACAGGGATCATGCTGCTGTTTGTCGCTAGCATCTTCATCACCTGTCGAAGACTTGCACACGCTAATTCTACGCGGGCATCGAGCGTTTCCGTGTCCAAGGTTTCTGGATTCAGTCGAGACATGCCACAGCAGTGCAGAACGAAGTCAAAGTCAAAGTTCACATCCATTTCTTGCAGCAGCTTTGGTAACGCGCGTTCGTCGTTCCGGTAGTCTGTCCTCTTCAAGTCCCCCAGGGAGATGAAGACAGAATCGGGGCTGATGAAAGGCTCCAGTTGGTTGGAAATCCCGCAGTCATCCTGGAGCACCAGACACCTCAACTGGCAGAATTCATCGACGAGCTGTGGGTCAACCTCTCCTACCCACTGAGACTGAGCGGCCGTCCATGTTGTCGTGTAGACCAGGTCCTCAAAACTGCCCGTACCGCCCGGGTCCGCCCGTATCCCGACGGCCAGTCCTCTCAGTTCGAGGATGACCTGCCCGTCTATCCCCGCCAGAACGCCGTTCGATCGAACTGTCCCTGGCGCGGCGCGAGTCTGCTTCACGTACGCCCACATGCGTTCCTCAACAGGTTTGACAACAACAAGACTTTCGATGGAGACGGGGAGAAATTTCAGACGTCTACCGTTTGCTTGACGTAGAACATCTAGTGCAAGCAGGAAATTTGCCTGTATCAGGGAGTCGAGAACAGCAGGGTGTATGCAGTAGTTGTGCATCTCTGCTGCCACGGTGTCGTGGAGAACAATGAGGGCCATGACTTCCTTGCCATGCGTCCCATCTCCATAGCAACATTCCGTTAGGCTGCGGAGTGTAGGTCCGTATTTCAAGCCAGTTGTCTGTATCACTTCATACAGGTCATCGCTAGATATGGTGTCATGGCAGCGGTATCGCACATCTTCTATGTCAAGCCTGCTTACGGTAGGTTGCTGCCGGTTCCCGTAGGCGACAGTGCCCGTGGCGTGTAGAGTTTGGTCCGTGCGCTGTTCAAAATGAATTTTTCCGTCATCTTCGTCGTGACTGACAGTGACTGTAATGACGGGTGTGTCCTCATGGCGTCTGATGGTAACTGGCTCGAGGAACATCACGCTTGTCCTACAGTTGGAGATCGGTTGTCGCGGGGAGATCGCGTCCATGCACGCAGCAAGCCCCAGATCACAGTACTGAGCAGCCAGAACGACAACGGCGTCGTCCATAACATGGTCGTAAAGATACGGCATGTTCTGCTTGCTTATAGGGAAGTCGTACCTTGGTGGATTTGTAGAAACCCTGGTGAGGAAAGGGTACCCGGAGCCTGCTAAAACTCCAAGACTGTTTCGTCGGGCAAGAGTCGTATCCGTCTCAGACCAGAGTAGCTTTCGAGAAAACTGATATCGTGGCACCTGGCATGAAGTGTACTTTTGTCCTTGAAACAAGGACTCCCATTTTGGTTCTAAACCGACCTGGTATAGATCACAGAGACCTTGCAACATCGCCTGGTATTCTTGATTCGGCTTTACGGACGCAACGTAGGTTAGCGTCATATCCGATGCAGTTTGCTTGATGTAGTTTCTATTCGGCGCTTTCGGCCCGATTCCCACCACGACGTTGTGTTTTTCCGGGCGTAGGGCTGCTGACATCGCACTTCTGAACATCACACGCTGCCTCACGTGTCTGCTCCAGTAGTCTCCAGTCACAAAGTCTGCTGTCGTGGCTCTCTCTCCCGTCACGGTGGAATACAGCTCCACGGTCGGCGGTTGTCCTGTCAGGTCGGCCAACGACTTCTGCAACTCTTCGCGGATGGGGTCCATGTGGGGACTGTGGTAAGCAAAGTGAACTCCCTGAACCTCTCTCAAAAAAAGCTGCCCGGCAGCCAGACTGTCTTCATTCATCGACTTCAACCGCTCATGTATGCCGTTTACAGCGTCCCTGCTCCCCGTCAGCACACAGCAGGTGGCGCTGTTCTCGGCAGCCACGATGAGTTCTGCCGACACGCCCCTGCACAGCTCCTCCGCCTCCGCGATCGGGAGGTTACCGACGACGAGCATCTTCCCAGCCGCGGTTTCATTCTGTAGGCGTCCTCGGTGATAGATGACACGCACGGCTTCTGATAACGACAGGGCTCCCGAGCAATGCGCCGCGGCTACTTCTCCCACCGACTGGCCGAGAATGGCGTCCGGCGTGACGCCCCACGACTGCCATAGCGCAAACTGCGCCACCTGAGTGGCAAAAATCAGGGCCTGGGCTACAAGCGGTACTTTGAAATCTTCTCTTTCCGACAAATTCTTGAGCAAGGACCAGTCCACGTACTGACTAAACAGGGAATCTATTTCCGTCAGCTTTGCTCTGAAGACTGGCTCTTTGTCCATCAGGTCCAGACAAACACCCTCCCACAAAGTTCCCTGTCCACCGAACACAAATATGACCCGCTTGTTAGATTCAAAATCATCACTGGTTATTGACGTTCGTCTTGCGGTCTTGGTAGATTGTATCTCTTCAATGTTATTGAGCGCCTTTGTCAAGGACTGCTCTATCTCCTCAACAGAGCTACCTGATACTGCTAGTCTGTAGTTGTGGTGGGTTCTTCTCATTGTTGATGTGTAGGCAAGTCTTTGTACTGATATTGCAGGGTGGAGTCGCAAGTAGCCGATAAGATCCTCCGCTACCAATTTCAGAGATTCCCTCGTCCTTGCCGATAAGGCCACAATAGCGCACTTTGTTTCCTCTTCCTCAGATTCATTGTCGCTCCTAGGGATCTGCTCTAAGATGGCATGGGCGTTTGAACCGCTTAATCCAAGGGAGTTAACGCAGGCTAGCCTTCTGTCCTTGCCTCGCAGTGGCCAGTCCAGTACCTCCGTCGCCACGGACATATGCAGGCGGTCAAAATCAATGTTTGGGTTCGGTTTGTTGAAGTGCAAGGTTGGCACGACTTTCTCATGCTTCATCATCAAGAGAACCTTGATGATTCCCGCCATGGCGGCTGCTGACCCCAGGTGCCCAATGTTACTTTTGACTGAACCTACTAACACTGGAGGATCGCCAGGTTTTCTGGCCTTGCCTATGGTGTTGCCCAGGCTGTTCGCTTCCACCGTGTCCCCGTCTGGACTGCCTGTACCATGAGCCTCGACGTAGTCGATGTCTTGGGGATCTATTTTGTAGTGTTCGTAAACGCGGCGGAGTAATTCCTCCTGCTGGGATTGTGATGGGGCGGTGATGGGGATGGCGGTGCGGCCATCTTGGTTCACTCCCGTTCGGATGACGGCCCAGATGTGGTCTCTGTGTTCTAAAGCCTGGATGAATTAATGATGCATGGATTCGGATTAGATATACACTCCTTTGTCAATTTCGTACTCCAAATGTCACCCTTCAAAGATATCAGTCATTTCAGTAAAACGTTGACCACAGATATAAGCGCAGTACTAGGATCTACTAGTAATGACAGATCAGCCTGGAATCCATCCCTACGAGCTACTTGCCGATTCTCTAGTCACTGCAGTCGCCCGTAGGGATGGATTCCAGAATAATGACTGATTGTAACTCACCCAGTCTAGCTTTTTCAGCACGACGACCCCACAGCCCTCCCCCCGGGCGTATCCGTCAGCTGCCGCCGAGAAGGGCTTACATCGTCCATCGGGAGGAGGTCTACCCATGCCTGCCCAGGACGGTGACTCCAACATGCTGCTTTGACGAATGAAACTCACACCTCCACAGATCGCCATGAAACAGTCACCTAAAACGATTTTAGTACCCTTTAATTACCTTGTTTTCACCTTGAAAATATGCATGTATCACAAATCATCAAGTAGGTATCAGTAAGGAAATTGTTTTCGCTTGTTTTAAACATGTTCTTATCTACGTACATAACCCGTTATATGAATGAATGAATATACATGCAGACATTTATTGTACAAGCATACCCACTGGGCTAAGTAAAAGGAATATCTTGTTCATATACATACATGTATACATGATCAAGCTAGCACTTAATAGCGCTATAGTCTATTTACGTAAACGAGTTCTATCGTTACCTGCCCTGATGGCCTGACAGCCGAGATGCACGGCGTACAGTCCCGACGAGCAGGCGGTGTCTACGGTGAGGGCCGGGCCGGTCAGGTTGAAGGTGTAGGACAGCCGTGCCGCCAGGAGAGACGTGGCCGCGCCCGGGACGGAGTTTCCCGTTACCTGGGACGGGTCTACGTCATCTTCTGATATGTGACCGCATGGTGTCGCCCCTGCACAGTAAGTGAGTACCTCCGTGAATAATTTCATCAGGTTGGCGAATGATTGAATATCATTTCAACTTGTTTTTACTCATTACCACCGTTTAACAAGAGCCGACGTTTCGATGGACGTCTGTCATCTTCATCATGCCAATTATGACTGTCTCGCTGTGCACCGAAGCTAGGTGTTACTGCGAACAGTTAGGTCCCAAACGTAAAGTAATTGTGATATACATAGACACTGTTACAACGACCACATATCTCATTGTTGTAACAATGTATAGCCAGTCATAATTGCCCTGATGAAGATCACAGACGGTCATTGAAACGTCGGTTCTTGTTCAACAGGTGGTTGTGTATAAAGAACTTTGCTATTCAGTAATTGAGTAATATTAGGTCTACTAGGGGTTAGATTTGACAGTTTCATCTCTGACACGTTCCCACGAATCAAATGACTAGTACTAGTAATACACATGTATCTTGAAGGTGCAATTTTAAATACCACAGACCAACAAAAACACCGGTGTCGCTGCCGTCCAGTTCGTCCATCGTGATGCCGGCATTTTCAAACGCCTTGTACGAACACTCCAGCATCAGGTGCTGCGGGGGGTCCATCCGGGATACCTCCTCCTCCGTCAGTCCGAACAGGCTGGGGTCAAACTCCTTGTACCTGTAGTGTTATCGTATATGTTTTCAAATTGTGAGGATAGTCTTGCTGTGTTTAATAGGTATGAACGTAGTTAGAAATCAAATACTTTATAATAAGTACACGCTACAGTGCTATGTAAGTTGTATGTTATATTTGTATTATGAGGACGGCAACAGGATGCTTTTACTAGATTGTTACGATAACGTCCCCCCCCCCCACACACACACGTCTGTGGACATTTTGAAATGACCGTCAAACCGTCAAAATGTTTTATTTGTGAGATTTCATACAGTGTTCACAGTGTGTAGTGATAGTCAGAATACCGATACCCTTCCACAAGCCCCGCCCTCTCCGCGGACATATTTCCTGGAGTGTTCCCGTCAGTACCGTACGAGGTCTCCTGGATTCCGCGGTCTGGTGGGATCTCCTAAACAATACACACGATAAATGTGTTTAGTAACGACAAGAAGCGGTGAAGATATAAGAGACAGCTGGCCGTTGAGTTTAGAGCTCTCAATATACAATTTTCTTTTCATCTTATACTTCCACCATTTGTCCGGTCTTCGCTTCACAGGGCGTTTCGACTGAAGGGTAATGGGCCTATAGATAATTGCACACACACGCCATTAAACACTATATGATGTCGGTAGCCACGACTGGTTTGAAACATGAGGTTTAGAAGAATATCTCCAGTTGAAATTAGAGTCACATCGCCACCTCCCGTTGGAGCATATCTTATCTTTCTTTAAAATCAGCTCTATGAAGAAATCAACGATAGTGGACTTCGTATCCAACTCTCACATACACGTGTACACAGTGTAAGTGTACTGTAATTGGTGTGCACATGCGCCATGGCCTTGTATTACCGCGCATCGATTAATGCTTCTATGGTAGCCCCACCCCCCCCCCCACCCACACACACATACCACTTTGGTAACTACTCTTGCTAAGTCCTCTAAATTATCATGCCAACAAACGTACCACCCAACTGTAAGTGGCGATCCTGTAGTGGTTCATGCAACGTACAGTTTATAGGCGCCTGGTCATATCCGTCGCTGACGAGCGCCGTTTGCTTGCAAGCTAACTACTAAGATCATTCTTAGGACAGTCGTATGTCGTATGTGCCGTACAATTCATCTGTCTTGTTTCCAAAACGACTGTCTTAGACCATTGTCGGCCGTTGTTGGTTTAGTCATAGTCTGTTATTAGGAAATTTTATGACATCAAAATCGTATGATGACCTACGACGAATATTATCATGCCGTTACGTATCCCAGGTCAAGAAACTCACGAAGCTAAAGAATATACCTGTACACAATCCTCTCCGTCTACAAGGACTCTCCAGAAGTCTTGTGGTCCGTCAGCGCGTGGAAACCGGCACCACAGCCCGACTATCGCTATCTGCTCCTCATCAGGACTAGCCATGACTTCAACTGTCTTAACTGTGAATATATAAAAAAAAACAAGCTTAAAGCAAAATAGATGATTCAACAATATTGTAATGAAGGTATATGTTTATGGAATTCGTAAATAAATGTCATGCTTCTCATGGTGTATGGTTAGGTGTATCGTGGCCAGTAGAACGGTGATTATATATAAGAGGGAGGCAACCTTCTACCTTTTTCATACTAAGATGTTGTTGAAGGGTTGTTTCTATCTTAAGACTTCACAGAATACTAAGGTCTCATATCCTTAAAAAATGACTCGCACTGGTCTTTTATAATTACATTTCACGTTTTGTGTTGCTGGCTGTACATCAACGAATGTCCTTGAATGTTTCAGGGTCACTATAAACACGTCGCTCCGGTTCGCGCTGGCAACCAGTCTACATGTACATTCCTGATCGATCTGAACCCTGACCCCTGTACGTAACACCCGGTTAGGCCATAACGAAAACTTGGTCCCGCAAATTCCTTTGCAGCACAGCACAGCATAGCACAACAGAACAAATGCTTATTTCATTCTACGGTAGTCTGACAGTTAAAACCTCTCTTGTAATGGCCACCTCCCACTATGACTGTATATTAAGATCAACTACACGTATGAAAATACTACAAAATATGACTCCTATGACATCAGTCTCAGGGTTGCAAATATGGTTGGTAAGATCACCAACAGACGTATCAAAATTAAGGCAATTTAGCGGAGAGAAATATTTTACTTCGACGGCAAGCTCAACTGATACAAGAACGTCACGTATACTTTAAGGAGCTTTACATGAACGTCGACCTTTAAGCAATATGTAAACAGTTTTATCAGGAGGACACAGGTACAAAATGTATAAATAAATGGTTGCACTGACCTCGGATGCACGTCACATTCGTCAGTTGACAAGACAAGAGGTGATGTGTTTTTCAGTCATAATGACATGGGCTAACCACGCATCATAACGCCGCCGATTCAATACACAACACACCACTACGCCGTCATGGGCGTGCTTGGTTGTCCATCGTTGTTGGGGTGTATGGGGTGTCATGGGCGTTACACTGATACTAACATGCATGGGTGCTCCCAACCGGGCACGCCTCACAATGATACGGTGACTCATTTATAAAGAAAAGCACAAATGTCACCAGTTGTATATGACCTATCGAGGCCATCTTCCATTGAATAACAAATTAAAATACGTAGGCGTCACTTTTGCGTTACATTCAATGGCTTGTAAAAAGAAGAGAGGAGAGGGTCAGGTTTGAAGTAACGTTACTGTAGTTTAATTTCGAGAATTGTTCTAACCATTAACAGTAAGCACACTTGTTTGAACCAAGACCATTATAGATTACAGTATCATGGGTGACAAAACAGCAGTAGTCCTGGCGACGACCTTACAACTCAAACAGGTCGTTAGATACATTTATGCCCCCCTCCCACCAGGATATGTCACTGTCGCACACATGCAATTACTGTGAGCTGTCACACCATTTCTCTTCTCACTTCCTGTGACTTAAATGTGCATTCAAATACATGCAGCTACGGACACACAAGCAAACAAACACGCCGCAAACCAAATGTCTACACGTGGAGGTGACAGAAGGGACTTTTACCGCGTTAAGACGAAGGAAAGGCTATATTGTCTCATAGCTGTATGTATCATACATGTGCTAGTCCATATTCCGTCATACGGATCGCTGAATACATACAGCAGTACTCACCAGCCTATCTCAGCGGTCCTGCCATGATTATGAGTTATTGCTTTCAATCTCACAATTCAGAATTGTCGAATTCCCCAATACAAAACACATTACACTACAACACGGCCATTAAAAACAGAATGAAAGAACATATTAATTCGCCTCAGATGATCAGCTCACCTTATTACGCGTCACCCAGCTTCAACAATGGCGACATCAACTCATGCATGTCATAACAGCACGTGTCAACTGACAATCCGTCTAATGGTCTGACATAATGTGCACGACATGTTCATTGGAACGATAACAATATGACAAGAATACACTGTTCCAGTACAGTCCTATACTCGTATATAGCCTCTACCAGGCTCCGCGGATCGCTGGAAAAATAGTAGAAATGGGCCGAAATAAAGGGATAGTATACCAAAGAAGATCCAGCCGGCCATAGAAGCTCCAATTTGGGTCGCAAATTGGAGCTTCTATGGCCTGCTGGATCTTCTCTGGTATACTATCCCTTTATTTCGGCCAATTTCTACTATTTTTCCAGCGATCCGCGGAGCCTGGTAGAGGCTAACTCGTATATACCATAAGCTACATTTGCATGTTTGAAGTTAAAACTTGTGATCAACACAAGAAGTAGATCACCTAGAGCTTTCAACAGGTTAGTCATAAGCTACGTAATGAATTTAGAGCATTTTGACCATTAAACATTTTTCCTGTCTTATTATGTAACTTGCTTTATCTACTAGACGAAACTTTCCAGACTGTCCATGTACCATTGCTAAATCGTCGTCCAATGTGTTAAATTACAAGTACATGTGCTTCTATCGGGACTTGCCAAAAGATATGTTGCTTTTGCGCTGCTAGCATGCCAGAGGAGAACAATTCCTGAACCAAGACGAGGCTTTCTCGACTACCCTTTTGCCTTTGCCTTTCCTTCTCGTATCTTTGCCAAATCCTGTTCGAAGGAGTATCCAAACATGTCAAAGTCCTCCTGGAAGATGTCCCGGAGAGGCAGTATGTCTTGTATCGGGACTTGGCCGTAAATGCCCCCGAAAACATTGTCATCGTTAGCTTGTCTCGGCCGCTGTTCCGGCAGAATGTCTTCATTCGCTGTGATGTTGTTCTTCTTTAGGAAAAGTCGAACATCTGAGGCGACCGTGTCCGTGTGGGCTATGAAGTCGTAGTTAATCTAAGGGGAGAAATCTGCGTTAGAAGTCAAACGCACAAGGCAGACTTTTGGGGCCTTTCTAAATATATTCTGTGTGTGTGTGTGTGTTTGTGTGCGTGTGTGTGTGTGTGTGTGTGTGTGTGGTGTGTGTGTGTGTGTGAGTTTGTGTGTATGTCTGTGTGAGTGAGTGAGTGAGTGAGTGAGTGAGTGAGTGAGTGAGTGAGTGAGTGAGTGAGTGAGCGAGTGAGAGTGAGTGAGTGAATGTATCAAATACCTGGCATGGTAGGCAGAGCCTGTTGATTGATATCCAGTGCTCATTGTCAAACACCTTCTTCGAAACTGCAAAAAGGAAGTCTCTGAAAGACACTGGTTTTGTGTCGTTGAATGTCCCTTCTTCCTTCACTTTGCTTTTGCTTGACTAGAATACAAACACTACATTTACCTTTGTGATTGAATCGAGAAACAACAGACGCCATGTACATCATGACCTTACAACTATCCCTTAATAGAGGCTGGGGGCGCCATAAACCTTCTGCAAAGTTATGATCCAGTGCTCACCGAATCACTTGTCCTATCTGCATGATGTATATGACTTTATGTCAGGCTCCTCGACAAAAAAAACTGGAGCTTTTCTACTTTCTCATTGTATTGGGAGCTACAGCTCAATCCTACTGCTATAAACACATTCCGTCTAGCTAATAACATGTTCTTCTATTTAACCCTGATCACCAGAATCACGTAACGTGATCGTAGTGTGACGTGGCGAAGAACGACAATCTACATGTATCAATTTTGAAGCTTAAGACTAAGACCATTTCTCGTACCTTGTCTGGTCGGTTGCGCTCTCGGTATGTTCTCAGACCATGATTTAGTTCCATGGTCCACCAAAAATCGCGTCCAATTTTTGGCATCTCAACGAATTTGTTGATCCACGCAGACGCCAACCTAGGGTAAGCATTAATGGCTGGTGTAATTGACTTAGAATCTAAAGATTCTGGGATCAAATCCCAAAAGTATAGGTGCTCGAATGCTGTGCCCTTCAGAGAGGCACCAACTTTATCAACCGATTCAGGTACTAGGTAGAGTTCCAAATTTAACAAATGATGTTAACATTTACGACTGACGAATCATCGCCATTCATTACAAATCAAATCAAATCAAATCACAAATAAGGTCCTCATCATCATTTGCATAAATTCGTATTATCCACCCAAATTATCATGTCCTCATCAATTATGTAAACGAGACCCAGATTTGGATGGAAAAAAATTAGCCTCACCTCTCCAACGGGTCGCGGACAACGATGATCTTCCTGTAGGTCGCGAGGCGCAGACTTGCTTCTTCCTTGCTGTAGCTCCCCAATGTTTTAAACCGCTGCAAATGGATCCATCTACGCGTGTGCTCGTGACGAGCCGTGTAGCTATCTTTGTTCTTGAAAAATTCAGCATGACTAATACTGATCGACCGTTCAGTTTTATTGTGCTCCAGATTGTAGAATAACGTTTTCATGGTTGTGCACCCAGCTTTGGGGACATAGCAGTAGGCCGTTTGGATATTTTCAAGAAACACTAGATGACTTTTAACTTGGGTTTGCGATGGATCCACCTGAAAAGTAAAATTGAAAATGAAACAATAGAAAGAAACTTAGCCTCAGGCGCAATGGATTAACTCAACTAGCCCCGACCATTCAAATTAAAAGTTAAAATTCTTCACGCACCTTTCGATAGTGACAAGTGTAAGTTATTCAAAGACATTTTACATATATTTCTCATATGAAATACATCTAATTTAAGTTGAAACAAATAGATTATGCTAATTATAACCTTATTTCCATAATCAAGGGGAAAAATTCTAAACACAAATATTCGCAAAAGCTCCGAAGTTTTGCTGTACAAAGAACCATCGTAACGTACCGAGTTCTTCTCACAGTACGCCTTTAACGTGGCGAGTCTGCGGGACTGTTCCTTCTCGGCTTCCGCTAAGCTGTCCCAATTTTCTAGAGAAAAAATTCATAACAACACGTATGGTATCTTTCATGGTCATAAATATTTCTGTAAACATTTCTCAACGGATTGGATTTTTGCAAGCGTTAATGCCACACTAATAAACTTCCTTGCTTCTTGTATTTAAAACAGGAGCATCAAGCAACATAAAAAACAATTAAACAGTTCCCGTACGGCAATCTCTAATGTAACAAAAAGTGCCTAACTGGATAATTATATTTTCATACAGTATCAGGGAGTAAATGCAGCTAGTTTTTGTTGAATAGACAGTCCTAAAAAGGCCTCCATAACACCATTTTTATGTAGCGCCTGATAACACCGTGAATTAATTAGAATGACCAGGAAACGGACAGTAGTCGCTATTATTGGTCCAAGAGAATGGAATAGATGTAAAAAAAGGCAATACGAAGTAAACACACTTCATTTACCTTTTTCACCAGCCAAGGCACCAATTACTATTTCTTCACTGACTTTAGGTGATAGTTCGACTCCGTTGTTGCTGACGTACATGTACATATAGGCGGCTCCAGTGCTCAGTATCAGGAAGGACAGAAATAGGAACTTTGGAGTTGGCCGAAAGAAACCCATCTTAACTATATGTTAACAATGACGTTTTACAATTAGGTCTGTGGTTGAGTAGCAGGCACTACGATTCGTCACGTCACACCTTCTCCCAGAGTCGCTGAAAATATTCAACTGTTGGTCCACGTTCTTTATTGGTAGTGGTAGTAGCAGTAGTAGCAGTAGTAGCAGTAGTAGTGGTAGTAGTATAGTAGTTGATACAAGACTGTGTCGCTAGGTCTCCGTCTGTGATCTTCGAAAGGTGTTAAAAAGTGTCTTGACAGAGCACACACAACTATACCATTAGGGTCGCCCCTTAGGCGTCGCCAAATATAAAGACCTACAGTCCCTGCAAATACTAGAAAAGCATACACAGGTGTGTTTCTAAATACTTATCATCTCTGTTTGCCATTTTCTCTTTGAATTCATCATTCACAATTAGACACTTCAGGGCAGTAAAACAGGTTTTCAAAGTCAATTTTCTGGTCATTTTTAAATGTATTAAGTTAAATTAATCCTTCAATAGTTTAATTTCTAACCCATATTCCAAACGTTTCGTCTCAAATCTACGACGTACATGTATAGCACGGTCGTTGCGGAAAAAGCCTCATCGCAGATACATCATACTGTGTACATGTATGTGACCTCAGCTTAGCGAGTTGTAAGGTAATGCATGTATTAAAAATCAACTTGAGACAAATTTTGCATACCTGTGATGTTAGAAATTTCCTTGTGGATGCTCTCGTCTCAGACTTTAGCTGTGTACGTCCTTGCTGTTCTGCTCACTGTGGTCCAATACGTGCCACATCCTGGTATTGGTTTGTTGACAGATTGCTATCTTGTCACAGGATATACACATTCAGGGCAAACACTGGTTATCAGGATTTCATGAGAATATGGGGCCCAAACGTATGTCACTTTTTCCATTCGGGCGGGGCATTCCCTTCTTACTACCAAACACCACACTTAGATCTGGCACACGTGTTAACATGTAATATATACATACAACATTTCAGTTTTGCTTTATGCAAAAATAATAGCTTTGGTCACTCGATAGTCGCTCCACGGTCGCCACCCCAGTGGAAAGGACCGAGTATTATTACGAAGAGCACCTCGTTAACAAACGTGATTTACTGAGGCTAACGATTTGTTGCACACCAGCAGTTTTATACCCTAAGCCTTGAGGAGTTCACGTCGTTCCTTTAGAAGACCTTGTGATGAATTTTGTGATGACTCGTGGCCAGTCGTGGGTAAAGACAGGTCACCGCGGAACTTGTATACATAGGCAAACGTAAACATTCCACTCCATGAAATTCAGCACTGCATGTTATAGTTATTATTAATTATATTGTTTGGTTTCATGTGAAATAAATGAATAATTCAACAACGATTACTTAATAATGATGATGAGACAAAAATGCACTAAAAATCTTGTTGTTTGGCCTCCACCAAACTGAGGATAAGAGTATGATAACAATTATGTTTGTAATTGTAACTTTCTTGACGACTTTGTGTCCTATTGAATCTTATCAACACAGATCGCTCAAGTTAAAGTCAACTTTGCTTCAATTCACGTAATTAGCAATAGTTGAAAATTAGCTTTACCTTTAAATAGAGCTAAACTCGCTAAGAAAAAAACTGGTACAATTTAAAACAACGTTGCACAAACAAACAGTGACTCAGTATTTCCTAACATCCGTTGCAAGGCCACTGTTCCAGGCCTCAGTTTTCAAGGAAGTTCAAGAAATTGGTTCCGGTTTCCCTCCATGGTGAGGCACAGGATTTGTCAGCTTTGCAGAACTTGACTGGGTCGGCGACAGAAGACCCTCCCGGTAGAGATGTGCGGCGTACTCGTGGAGAGTGCACGCCTTCCTGATATCCTCGCAAAGGACGCAGTATGGTCTGCAGAGGATCCCACGGCACGGTGAAATATTTGAGGGTTCGGGGCCTTTTTGCTTGTGTTGCTGAATTCTGAGACTCCTGTCTCTAAGTAGGATAAAATAACAATTATGCCATACCTTCATCCAAGTACAAAACGCGGAGTCCATGTTAAATCCGGCATTCCAGGCAGTTTCACCGATGTAGATAGGAGCGAAGTCACCAGACTTCCGGTTACACTGAGTTTTCATCGTTGTTTGCAGCCACCGGAAGTGAGCCAGCTCGTCCCAGAAGTCGCTACCCGTCATTTTGATCTTCCTCCACAATGTCCTGTTGAAGTGTTCGTAGAGCGCGTAGTCGATGGCGTCGTGCCGGCGGTAGTTTTCTACAAGCTGCTTCGGGAAGGAAGTGTTTCCCAGATCGTATTTAAAGCTGTTGTATTTAAAGTTGAGAATATCCTGCATGTCCCAACACAGCTGCCGCCTCAGCAGCACCATGGTACCATGGCAGCACCAACGATTCGTCGAAATACTCCATCACCATCACGAGGTCAAACTCTCGCGAGATTTTGTCGACAAAGTCCCGGATGTTGTCGTCCTTTACCCCGGATGTTAGGTTCTTCAAGGGGAATCCCAACTCTATTGCCATGTTGTTTTTTATTAAGTCGCCTGAAGGTCCTTTGGTATTGTTTTCATACTTTTCTAGGTGCTCCAGGAACTTAAACAAGGCGTTCGGTCCGGGAATGTGGTACTTCTTGTCCAACTTGAAAAAGTTGAAGGCAGACTTCAGACGGTCCAAGGGCTCTCTGATGATGGTTACAAACGTAGCGTTCGCAGAGAGCAGCTTCGTTATCGTCGCTCGGTCGTAGACGGTGTGATGTGTCAAGATGTCGAACTCCTTGTTTTCCGGCGGAATGTAGTTGTTCGGATCCCGAATACCGTACGGATACAAGTGGTTGATGTTGTTCGATCTCTGCAGCACGAACGAGAGGTTCCGAAGATAGCCGAATCGCTGAAATATTTGCATCATAGAGCTGCTTCCCGTCTTGTGGGTTTTGATGAAGGCAATTTTGGTTTCAGGACGGCAAACAGGTAACCGTGACCCTGGGATAGGTGGCATATAATAGGACCTGTAGTGGTATAACAAGAGAATCCTATTATATACAGACCGGAAGTAGCGATACTTTTAGTACAATATCTCGGTCGCTTCTCTGAAATGAAAAGAAAAGAGAGACCCCGGACGCGCACATATTTTACCCGTTTGTCATTTGAATACTAGTATGTCTTCAGAATTTGGACAGGCGCACTGATAATAATAATTTGATGGCGTTGGTATGGGGTCATCCAATCAGCAGAGGTCCCGCCCTGCACGCGATTGGCTCATTACGTAACGTCATCACCAGACAGAGTTTGAGTTTGAGAATATGAACAAGAAACGCATGAATGTTTTATTTCAAAACATGCAAAACATTGTCACAAACATTGCAGCCAGAACGGCTGAATTGCGTTCGGACACTACACAACAGACACTATGGACGTTCAACGCTTTCATCTTTATATATGTGTCATTGCCCTATTCAAGAACGTTGCCCCAGTTGCTCACTGTCCATTAAACTGTGCAAAGACGCGTTATAATGCTGTCCCATTGTAGAATGTCCTTGCCCTAGTATTCATTAAACTGTGTAACGACACTTTGTAATGCTGTCCCATTTTCTGTAAATAAATAATCGTTCCGCTCCAGTGTCCATATAATTGAGCAATTATGGATGGACTGTCTACATGGCTTTACACTTTCTACAAACCTGACAACGACGCTTTTTTCAATTAAATCATTTTCAGTTTTTTTCGTCATAATCACGTAAATGTCACATTTTGTACACCTGTTAGTGTACTCCTGATAGTATCACAGAATGTAGTCAACCTAGATTTTATGCAAATCACTGTTGGTATGGAAACACACAATCATACACTAAACTCACATTATGCACTCGGTCCGCGTTAAGATTCCAAATAATCATACGCTAAACATACACACTGTTATCGCTACAACAGTTTTTTTTAATCAATTTATCTTTGGAGCATATTGGTGGTGCCTTTAGCCAATAGGTATGCAGGGAGATAATATACCATAAAATAATGATTTTTTTACCTTTACTTAACCTTGAGCCATACAACGTACGCTCTTCGGGCCAAGCCGCTTTTCAAGAGCTCAAGAAGGGGAGGACGGTCAGAGGTCTCAATTCACAATGCATCGTTATTTAGGTCAACAATAAACATATGGTTAAATATATCTAACATACAAGTAAATCAAGACCATACCTTTCCTTGTTGTTAATTGCTGGCGAATATAAAGCTAGCATGACCACGGCCACCAGGAGGACCAAAACGTAGACACCTTGCTTCGTTGCATCCTTCATCTTAGTTCTCAACTTGTCTTGGCCCACTTGTGAGGACAAATAAAAGGAGATATTTACTTCAAACCTATACTCCCTTTTTTAGTCACGAGCGCCAGTTTGACAAGTCCTCCGTTGGGAACTAGCCTCCTTTGCCGGGAGCGGTCAGCGTTTGTTGGAGGGGGAGGAGTCAAGGCTTCTGATCGCACGTAGATCGCACACGCTTAGAAACCGAGAACTCTGACCGCCTTCTCTAGCGCTTCGATTCCCACGTACTGGTATTCAACGCAGCCACTTTCAGGTCACGGGACAGTAAAAAAATTGGCCCGCGGACAATGACGCACATGAAGGATACAAAGATGATAGTGTTTAGCTCCCAGGGTGTTGTTTCAGTGACATTCAAACTTCCCCAAATTCTCACCATCAGATATCTTTATCCACAGTTTATTACAAGTCACCAAGACAGTTGTTACTGTCATCATTTGGAAATGCATTTAGTTCTTTATATATTATTTTTATTTTCCATGCCAGATTCACATAAAGGTAACATCTATGCCCCGGTAGTTCTACACCCATTGTCAGCAATGGTGAAAATTAGTATAGCTTCGGTTAGGGACGGCCTCTCGGATGGGGCCCGCGGCCGTGTTGTATGAGGCATACCCTCGAGCACGTTTTAAAAGATCCTTTCGGTAGTGAGTGGTTCATACCCTAGTTACGCAGCTTGTACTTCCCGTACAAAACAAAACAAAACAAAACAAAACAAAACAAAACAAAACAAAACAAAACAAAACAAAACAAAACAAAACAAAACAAAACAA